GCGAGCGTTTACTAGGATGGAGGACTGTTACTGGTATCGCAGGGGCAATTGCGTGGTGTGTGTCGTACCCGTTGTATCTATCTGCTTCATTTCTAGCGTTGGCATTTATAACAATTGCGGTGTTCGGAGTCTTGTCGTTGTCGCTTATGGTCGTATACGGTTCACTTCTGGCGGTCGTTGAGTACACGAGCAACCTCACGATCAGCTTTTTGTTCGATGATTACACTAGATACGGATTGCGAGTAATTAAGTATCCGTCGCTAGATACTGGCGCGCAAACGCTGTGCCTCGTATTCATGTCCTTATCTATCCGAACGCAATGGCGATATCAAGATGTTCTCAAAGAGTCACGACAGATAAATGCAACAAAGATGGAGAAGGTGACAAAGACAATTTTGAAAATTTTGAGCGTTGACAAAGATGCGAAATGCAACGTATGATGAGCTTAATTTTTCCGACGATTGGCTTGTTATGTCGATTTGATTATAGCAAATCCGACAGGGATGGCGATCTGCTGCGCGTCTGTGATTTACAGATGCCAAAAATGTCATCTTTACTCATATAGACGCACTGGTTTTAACAACAACTATGATTTGTAACTTGCAAGTCTTTTTTGTGACTTGCATTGCTAAGTGGTGCCGTGGTTCCTATTTTTTGGCTTGCTACACTTGTCGTATATTGTTTAATTAAGCACAATGAATGCCGAACAGATAGAATACGGAGCTTGAGCTAAGCCAGGAGATGATAAAGACATCATAGCGATCGTTTATCTTTTGATTGTGTACTGTAGGTGTACGCGTCTTCGGCATCTATATGTCGACAGTAGTAGGCTCTTGCTTGACTACTTTTGTTGGTGGTTTTGTTGATGTACGCAGTCATGTTATGGCTGAATCCTTTAATGGATGTTGAGATGGAAGAATCATTTCCATGGCGAGTAGTTGCTGAAATGGTTTATGCTGAACAATCAACAAAAGTGGGGCCGGTGTGGACAGGCTGATTGCGCAAGTTTCAATTTTGTGGGTTAGCCAAGTTCCCAGTGAAGAATCCAGCAAAGAGGCTATCCACAAGCGCATAACAACGTACATAAATCCAGGAATGAATCCGGTAGAATATTTGGTGGAACATTCTAGATAGGCTTACAGGTAGCACAGCGAACTAAGGATCCTAGATATATATACTTTATATTTTGCTATATATAGCACAAATGCCTTCCTTCTCTTCACCATCATCTATTACATAAATATCTGAGCCAATTGATGATTCAACAGCTCGATGTATAATGTAAGGGTCAAATGCTTTTTATGTGCAAAGTGCACGATAATCCATTTGTAATGCTGGTCTACCCTTAGAGACTGACATTTCCGCTCCTGGTAGACACGGCGAACTCCGACTCTGTTCGTTACTTAATGCAGACTCTGAGAGTCAGAGCTTCCACTGTCCAAAGTCAGCTACAACCCTATTGCAGTGTTGGTCACCTGGAAGCTTTCAGTATATCCCCTGATGGGAGTGTTTGAATCAAGTCAATAGATATTCATTAATGCTTTCTTGTATCACAGAGTAGCGTGAGGAGGCTTCGAGACATTTTTTAGAAGCCTACAGATCCAAATCTCATATTGGTCAACAAATACGTCACAATTCTCGGATGAACATTTGTTGCAAATCAATGTGATTCTGAGACAATAGGATTGTATACTGGTAGATAGAAAACACAATTTTAAGATTACGCTGCTGAGAATATTATGGCCAGCTGAACTCGAACTTTTGGTGTGTCTGGTGAAGCAGGTCTCATTACACTTGCTTTTCATGCTGTTTGCACCACTCATTTAAGAATTCAATAGAGGCTCAATTTCCACGAAAACAAATCAAAATAATCGCCTCGTAAAATTTTCCGCCTGTAAAATATTTCGAAATGCATAATTTGAAATATTTTTATGAGTCCATACAGATATGCAATTGAAAATATTCGATACATCTTTGATGTTTAGCTCTACAGTGCGACGCTGTGCAGCCTCCGTTGCTACTCTCCAGTCGTTTGCCTTACAACACTCGACAAGTCAATGGCATGCTTTATCATTCAGCCGTCGTCACTTCTCGCAAGTGTCATTTGATTTCGTTGACGGCGAGGGAAAGCGCACAACGGTAAAAGCAAACGTTGGTGAGACACTGTTGGACGTGGCCCAAGAGAATGACTTGGAGCTCGAGGGTGCGTGTGGTGGAGAATTAGCGTGTTCTACATGCCATTTGGTATTTGAAAAGCGGATTTTTGATGAGCTGCCAACATTAAGTGAGGAAGAAGAGGATATGTTAGATCTAGCGTGGGGGCTCACAGACACGTACGTTGAACGCATCAATTTATCGCACACATGTTTGAACTAACACAATATGTTACGATATTTGTTAACGTAGGTCACGATTAGGTTGCCAGATACATGTGTCCAAGATGATGGAAGGTATGACAGTTCGGATTCCAGATGAAGCCGATAATCTCATGTAAGGGTGGCCTTGTAGAGGAATAATAAAACGAAAAAATCTACAATTTTGGTGAGACTTTGAACAGTAATACTCGACAAGTTGTCTATTTGTATATTAACACAAATGTATTCTGAAGAAACTACGAAACTTACATTGTTGTGAATTGATACACTTAAGCATAATCGACTCGTCAAATATCTGCTTATTGTTTGAGAATGATGACTTCATTTAAAGCAAAGATCTCGACAAAGTCCTGCGCCTCAGCTAATTGAAAGTTCTTGAACACAGCTTTAAAATTTAATATCTTGCTGTGTATGATCTAAAAAGTAAGATAGTCCATACGCTCTGGTCCTAAGAATTATCAACCGGTCACTTTGGCGCACTTCTTAATCTTTCCCGCATAGTTAAAAGTTTCATCATGTGAGTGCAATTGATGACAATCGTGTCGCTACCTTAGATTCTGAGCTTATGGCATCTCCCTAATTGAAGAATGCTTCGTCATATGAGCTCGTTCGAAGAAAAGGTCAATGATTTATAAAGTTATATGTTATATTGTACGTCGCTTAATTTTGACAGCATCACCTCTCTTCTTATCGACATTGTGACGATAGCTAGTACATTAATGAGAGAAAGCACGCCACACCAGCCTTAATCCAGTAGTCCTGATCAGCGAATTGCAGCTGAAGATTCGTCTCCGAAACAAGCGAGTTTCGAAAAATAGTCTTTTTATTTGACGGAATCTCGATCCAGAAGACAAAATTCGTCGAGTGACCTGTTGTGGAAAGTGTACCAGTTCTAGTAAGGATCTTGTAAACTGGACAACGGTAGATGCCGCTTTGAGGTGCTTGACGGTCTGGAGTTGGCAGGAGATGCACGACAGGCATTCGAGCAAAGAGTTCTTTGGGTAAAGGATCCACGAGCGAATGGGTGATTCGATCCCATCGCGCACCTTCCAGAAAGAGTCCCATGATAAAACATCCACCATCTCCTGGCTTTGTTTTGATGCTGTCAGGTGAGTGGTTTTGCATGAGGAAAGCAAAAGAAAGCGAGTCAATTGCCAATCCAAATTGTCGGGCATGATTCTGGAGGATGCCAGTCAAGAAACCTTGCGGAAAGAAGAATCCAGACAGCCAAAAGATTGGCGGAATCCCATGATTGACCCACTTGGCTAAAAAATTTAAACGTTCGATTAGATCATCAATCCAGCCACCAAGCGCCTTTAATGACGGATATGCTCTCTTTTCCCATTGAGGTGGTACTTTCTGATTGAATAAAGAGGTCGCCATCGTCTCCAACTCGGGTGACATGACAATGAGACCGCGTAGAGCACGTTGCAAATTGGGTAAAGATACTTGAAGTATGTGAAGGAGTGTGTTGTAGCGCTGCAGTTCTTGCAAAAGCACCGTATTCATCGATTCTTCGTACAAAACAGGATACCGCAGACTAATGTTTTCCACATCAAACAGCGGCGGGAGACGATCTATGATTGATTGAGCTTGCTGTTCAATGAGTGTTTCTTGAGATTGACCTCCAGCACCAGCTGCAGTACGTGGCTGGAGAGCCAGGATGACATCAAATGTGTGAAACGTCTCGGCTAATGCACACGTGATGTTGGCATTGTCGTGCATTCCAAAAACTTCAGGCCCAGGGTTGATAGGTAGACTATCAATGTAACCTAAGTAACTTGTTAGTGGGTCTTTAGGGTCTGCCGCGAAAGAAATGTACGTGCCACTCGTAGAAAAGCAGTGTCCCTCTTGTAGGATCTGCGGGTTAAAGAATCCTTCAAGAATGATGTCGATTGTCCGCATATCTTTATCATCCGTGACACGACCGCCATAATTGACCATCGAAGTCATCACACACAAGACTTTATATGGTACTTGATCGTAGAAATCCAGAAACATTTCAAGTTGAGCACGACTAATATCATAGTCAGTATCGTTAAATGCGTAAGGGATATTCCAGCCTAATGGACCAAATCGTTTGCGTTCAATGACGACAGCATGGAAAAAGCTCAGGCCGAATAAAAGTTTACGGAATTGATCCGGTTTGGATGTAGCATTCAGTGCATCATTTGTGAGCTTAATATACGAATTTCGTAAGTTAGCACGGATTCCCTTTGGCGGTTCCTTTGTCATCTTGACACCATTTTGTAGCACTGAGGTCGGAAAAGCTGTACTCGGTTTGCTAGTTAGCCACAATCGAAAGTCACGGTGTATTGTGTCTGGGTTTAAATCATCACAAATCTTTTCAAGTTGTGGCATCCAGCTAGTGGCTAAGTGACAATTTTGAAGAAGCACCCACTTTCCACTTGTCACGGCTTCTTCGATCATTCTCGTCGCTAAAGGTCCTTGGCCTTGGCCCAACGATATCGAATTGAGCTTTCGATTCATCTTCATAGTCTCTGCAAACACAAGCAGCTCTTTTGCTGGATCAGACCCTGTGGACAGTACAAAAATGATTGGAGTGACTACAGTAGAGTCCGCAAATGAGCCCACAAGATCGAAAGGTGGTGGTTCAATGAATCGACGACCAATGTGCTCTACAACAAAGTTCTGCATGGCTTCTGTCATTCGATCAGGTCGAATGCAGCGAAGAACGCAAAGCCTTTGAAACGAATTGAGGGACGGAGTCAATGCAAATGAAAGTCGCTCTGTCTGTGGATTCATCGAGTCGAAGACCTTGCGCCACTGCGATGTGTTGGAGGCTAATGACGATGCAAGCGTTTGAAAAGCTGACAAAGAGGACAATGCACAAACTTCACGCCACATTCGGGTCTCAATCCAAGTCGGGTCGGGATTAGGCGCCTCAATGAAGCTAACGATCGAGCCTGAGATCAAGAATCGCCATTCCTGCAGATCAATCGCTTGCGATCCCATTAATAATTTAATCGTTAGCAAAAACGAGAAAAGTAACTTGTGTTCTTCAAATAACGAGCGACAAATGTTGCGATAGAGCGCGTATGTAGCTGATTCTTTTAGATAAGTGAGTCGCAATTCAAGTTGATCACTAGCTGATGCACTTTGAATGCTTTTGATAAAGAGCGACACGAACCACGAAAGAGAGTATTGGTACATAGGATCCACAAGTGCCAAGTCGGCAATACAAAAGTAGAGCAAAGACGCACGAAATGCCACGTCGCGATAGCGTTCTCGAGACTTGTCAATAGCCTCTTCTGTGAACTCTGCCTCGGCCATCTTATCGTTAATATCTTCTGACGTCACTTTAGCCTTTCCCAAAGTAGTGATGAGCTCGGTATCATCCAGAATATTCCCTTGGGAATTGGCTAATAAGTACAAGATCTTGTTCTCGATTTCCACTAGCTCTGCTTTCATACGTGCATTAGCTACCACAAGCGAGTTTTTTTTTTCTGCTAACTCGGGCATTTCTTCATGCACGACAACTCCTAAAGCCTGATCCTCAAGACCTTTGGGGGTTATAGTAAAGTTGAGGAGCGTTACTTTCACTGACGTCTCGGGTGGATAGTGTGGGTTGGGCAGCTTTGTAGTCATGTAAAAACGGAAAGCTGGATGGTACGGCACAATAGTATCGCCAAGTTTCATGACCACTTGACCTCCTTGACGAAATTTGTTCTGAAGAAGAACAGGCTCAAGTGTTGCATCGAGACTTTCTCCAATATTCTCCAGTAGGATCCACTTTCCAAAACGAATTCCATTCTCCAGTGTCTTTAACAGCCCCTTATCACTCTGTTTCACGACATCTAGACCGCTTTCAGATGAATCTTTTCCCATATTCTTGATAAATCGATTCGCTTGACCTTGCGGATCAATAAGAAGCGACCAGCGCCTTGCACGTGCCATAATGAGCCCGTTCTGTACCGACACATTATCCGATGGCAAGCCAGCAATCTGCCAATTACGAACTTTCACTGGATCTGCAAGCGTTGTGATGATGTTGCAGCCCTTCGTATGCGGAAGTTTAAGCGCTTCTAGTGCCGCATACCATGTTGAGACACAAGATTCTCGAAATTCGCTCGTAAATGGACCTAAGTAGCTGATTGTAGCTGCCGAGATAATGACGTCGCCCATTAAATTGGTGTTATCAGCATTCAACTGACGGATCGTCGCTGCCCATCGCGTCTCTTCTCCTCCTAATAAATGAATGAGCTTTAGTGCAGACTCGAGTCGGAGCTCACACTGCCGCACATCTCGCACGAGTTGATCCTTTTTCCCCACAGCATTATTATAATTGCTTTCAAGCTCTGCAAGACGATCTACGACAGCCTGTAGACGTGCCTTGGCATCAGCAAGAACATGCAATGTCGCATCTAACTCAGTCTGAGCTGTTGCAAGCACAACTTTTTTTGGTTCAACAACTTTCGCTACGTTATAGTACGTATGCATAGCTCGCACCCACATACAGATAGCCTCACAGGCTACACTGGCCTTTCGAACCGCAGCAGGAGAAAATTCATCCATCTCAATATACCGGTCAAGCTCTTGAATAATCTTGTCGCCAATATTATCCTTATCAAACTTAATCATATCCTCCATTAGCTTCTTAGCATTGCTCAAAATTGTCTTCTGGGCACTTTCCCAATAGTCTTTAATCTTCTGTCCCGCTTTGTCTGGATCCGCTTTGATCGCGGGTTTGATTCCAAAAATGATACACGCCGCCTCCATTGTAAGTTTAACTCCGTGAGGCGGATTCTTTAGCGCTTTGACTTCGTCAATATCGGACTTTTTCAACTTGTTAAGACACTGCACTGCTGCTTCAAGAGCTGGTAGTGCTTCATCCAAATCACGCTGTGCATCATCTGCAATCTCCTTTGTCTCTGCAGCTTTCTTGTTGGCACTCTGCTCTTCTTTTTCCACAATTGCTTTCGTTTCGTCAGCATCTTTCTTGTCACTTGTGATCTGTTTCATCATTTCTTCAACTTCAAATTGCGTCTGTTCTAACTGTGGTTTGAGTGCCACCAATTGCTCCTGCATCCCTGCTACCTGTTCTTTGGTTGCAATGATCTTATCAACACCATTTTGAAGACGAGAACGCTTCGATTGCAATTCTTCACGCTTTTGTAACAACACGGTCTTGAACGTATGTAGCAACTCGAGGTAACTTGTTGGAGTCGCGTAGTTGTATCGACGAAGTCGATCGAAAAACAAAATTGACTCTTGTTCAACACTTTGGTGAATAGTTTGGAAGAGGCCAACGACAGCACTTAAAACAACTGCATTCGTTGTCGTCGCTTCTACGGACTCGACCTCGTCGAATTCATTCGAAAGAAAGATGTCACTTGATGACAACGTACTGGCCGCCACAGACTGAAGTGCTTCTGCTGGCCACTCACTAAACCAATCGATCGTACAACAATTTACTAACGACGGGAACATTCGAATTCGGTCGCGGAAGAGACTGCCAAGAGGACTCATACAAAGCACAAGGTGCACATTTTGTCGTACAAGTAAAAGATACTGAGCAAATGTATTGAGTTTTGTAGGAGGAATGTGCTTTTTGACACAATAGGAGCGAAAGTGCTGACTGATCTGATCGAGATCCTCAAGTGCATACAAATTCGGGACGTCACCTGAATTTAAAACGTTGTTGATGTCTTCAAGCATAGCATCGTGCACAATTTGAACGTCTGAAAAGAGAAAGACGAGCGGTTTTCCATCAATTCCAGCTTTCATCAGACATTTCTTGAGATCATCTCGCCATTCTGTTACGCCATACCCTTTACTGATCTCAATTTGCATGCAAGAATACTCAGCCATATAAGCTGCTAACCTAGTGAGAGATTGACGACCGCTACCGCCAATTCCGAGCAACAAAGCATTACCTTGAGGCTGTCGAAGCACACGAGAAATTCGAGATACGTGCTCGATTGCATTTATAAAGAGTACAAGATTCATTGGAGTGCTATTCTCGGCATTGTAGTCATTTAGATATTCTTCTACTTGAGTCTGGAGTTTGTCGAGACTATCAATCTCTTCATAGATTCTTGGGTCGGCACCTGGTACCATAAAGTCGCCATAAAACAATGTCGGAGTCGGGTGCACAAGATCCCATGCCTCTTTCTTTGTTGTCGTGCCCAGTGCGTTCCCAAAGACATTTGCTACTTGAGTCTGAAGCAAACTGACAAACCACTCATGATCATTCGACGTTGTAAAGCGATCGTTAAACACGCGCAAGTTTTCATGGACCCACAGACGCAGCATTTGCTCTAGCTTTGTAATTCGCTTTGCATCTCCCATCAGCACTCCTTGGAATACTTTGGCAAGATCACGAAGATTAAAGGTATAATGTGATTTGGCTGGCGTCGGAAGCAAGTGGTCTATAACTGTGTTGTAGATATCAATTGAAGCTTGAACAAGTTTCTGCGTGATTTCGGATGGTCGAATGTCCTCGGAGAAGCCAGCGAAATAGTTGCCGACGATAGATTCATACACAACCGCTTTGCTCTCATTCGACATTTCGGTATAGCCCAAAATGTTAAAATGGCGCACAAATCTTTGAGTGATAGGATTGCGACCTCCTCCAGGCGGTCCCATAGAGCACACAAATACAATGTCGATAATTGTTCGAAACGTAAGCAATTTCCGGTCGTACCAACCTCCTTGATCAAACCATTGACGTAAGATCTCAATTGGTGGTTGAGCAAAGTATTCCTCCTGTTTCGGCATGTTGAGATCATCAATATAAATGACAAACTTTTTACCAGCCGTCGGTCCAAACACACCTTTGCGTCGCTTTTCCATCTTAGAATCGATAAAATCTTGTGTCTGATTGGCACTACTTTGAGCCGAAAATGCCATACTTAATGGAATATACGTTTCGGGGTTCAGCTTTTCCAGAAACTGATTAACATTAATTGTCTTTCCTGTCCCTGTTGGCCCAACAATGAGCATGTGAACGCCCAAAGGAAGCGTCAAGTTCATCAAGAATGTTGATCGAACTGAATCAGCAGTAGGGACTACCAATTCGGAAAAAGATGCCGATGAATCGATTGCAAATGTAGGTATTGTCTGAAGCCATGGCAGCCAACTCTCTGATTCAAGATCAAACGAGTAATCGTACACTTGACCTGTTGTTGGAAAGGGTTTCTTCACGTCATTTCTAACCATCTCTTCTCGAATGTAATCGTCAAACCGCTTACGGCCCATGTCATTGCCTGTTGCACCTATGGACCAGACTAATGAAAAAAGAAAAAGGTTTTCAACATTTCTTAGATAAAATGCTACTCGCTCCAGCTTAATGTCATTCCTTTCTTCTCCTAGCATTGGAAAGAAAAAACAATCAAGCAATCGTAATAAAGTTTGAACCAAATTGGATGATATCTGAGGCAGATATTCCTTCACATTACTCGTCACAAACTGTAGAGCTGGACGTAAGTAGATGTCAAGAAGGTGCTGAAGTTGCAAGCACAGCTCCAGTACAGGAGAGACCGATCCAAGTCCAACATCCCGCTGTAGTTTTTCTAGCCAGCTTACAATAAGCGGTTCAAAGCCCAAAGAACTTGGTTCCATGTACACCATGCCCGTTCGACTCACTGTCGCGGGGGAAGCGACCAATAAATCTTCCACTTCAAACATCATTGTCATTTCGTTCGACATCTGAATAATCTCACCACTAGCAAGGCACAGTTTCTTATTATCATCTAGCACAGTGTTCATATTTTCAATCCAAATGGCATCCACAGGCCCGTCAAAAATGACCCATTTACGGTCCATAGTCGTATCACTGGCCGCTTCACGATATAGTGTCGACAAGACTCCATCCTGCCACTCGTGCGTATTAGCATCAAATTCTCCATACAGTTGACCCATTGTGATAGACTTTGGATTCAATTGATATCGACTCACTTTTTCGAATGCATGACCGCTCTCGCCACGCTGTTTTAATTCGGTAAGTGCTTCGGCAAGTACGTTGATATTAGCAGATTTCCCCCCACCCGTCGAGCCAACAACCATCAAACCGTGACGGACACATAGTGTCTCGTATAGCTGCACGATTTTCATGAGAAAGAACGAGTGTTTTTGCAGATGTTGCTTTTCAATTGTGTCGTTAATGACTCGAATCAATGCACCATGGTTGAGCTGTGGACGGCTTTTACCAGGAAACAAATCACTAAGAATTCCACTAAATAGCGGAATATCGGGTGCGAGGAATTTAGGCAAGTTAACGTCCTGCAGAGCACGCAGCAATAGAAGCTCTTCATCCATGTCCGGATCCGAGCGTTTGTAATTTCCAGCTGCAGTGATAACCGTTTTAACGGCCCGCATACCATAATCATAGTGAGATTGGGATGACAACATTTCTGAACATAATTTAAACGTTGTGACCATCTTAGCACCACATTGTTTCGCCTTTTCGTATCCATACGCAAAGAACATGATCTCACCAATCATCGCATAATCGGGCACCATCATCGCTACGGGTCGGAAGAGCGCAGCGAGAGAATCAGGCAAGTCCGAACGTCCAGCGTATCCAGGATTCATCGTAATAAAGACACCGAATTGTGGATTCACAGCAATGTCCGAGCCTTCAAACAGTATGCGTTTGTCGCCAGTACGTATTGCAAGTTGTAGTGTAGTCACTTGCTGGCCAATTACAGACAAGACTTCAGTGTTGATGCGATTAAATTCGTCAAAACACGCCCAGGCACCACATGCAGCCAATCCTTTGAAAAATTTACCCATTGCAATGTAGTCGAGACCATCCGAGCAGTTAAAGACAACGCACTGCTTGGCCAACGCCTTGGCCAGATCTTTTGTCGTTTCGGTCTTTCCTGTACCAGCTGGTCCTGCTGGAGCTCCACCTAGTGTCATCTGTAGCGCTGCCATAAGCGTCATATAACACTTATCTGTCAAAGGTGTAATCACTAAGCGAAACGAGTTGCCAAGATACTCGTAGCCATACGGACGGCGTGCCGACACCATGTCGGCAAACAGATCGTCTTCCCAATAATATCGGAGCTGGCTAGACCACATGAAATCGTCTTTTGAGCTCACATTGTTGGACAGGAGACGCATCGTCACATCTCGAGCGTGCACGTCAATAACCGCCAACGCACCGACACTTACGCGAGCAAGCTTGCCAAGATCCCCTCGAACCATTTGCACCATATCTGCAAGCTGTGCAAGCTGTCGCTCCATCATCCGCTTGACACCGTTACTTCCTGCCTTTTCCATCTCGTCTTCCATCTCTCTTGTCCAGTGAAACTGACTTCCATTCAACACGCACATTCCCGGCCACTTTTGAATCCACTTTGTGCGTGAAATAGTAGTGTAATCCTCAATTGCTTGATACATGACGTCGCGAATTGATATACGCATCATATCTTCTACTTCCGTCATCCAATGTTCAACATTCTTTCCAACGGGATCGACAGCTCTTGTCATCGCCACCTTCTCTCCTTCCGCAGAGACCATAGCCGTTATCGTCAGATCTTCCTGAAACTCTACCGATACGATGCCCTCAAAACATTTCTTCAAATGCGGCTGCACCAGCTTAACATCCTTACTCTCGGACAGAATTGATAACAGTTCCTCATTTGATAAGAAGTAGAAGCGACTGAAAACCGATCGCTTAGTCTCAAGAAAGTCGCTCAATCCTTTTTGAACTTGCTCTAAAAATCGAGTGCTTTCTTGAAAACGGTCAAGTAGCTTGTCATTGTTACAGAACGTCAAGACACCCGGTCGTTGCTTAGCTGCAGCTAGCGTCTGACGCCAGTTCTTGTCTACTGTCGCAAAGCGCTTGCCTTCTACTGGAAGTTGCTTGTTGATGTCAGGTGAGTCAAAAATTGGCTGCAAGTAGAGCCAATTACGCTGCACTTGGATCCACTCATCAAGTACATCAGACACAGTGCTAAGCGTACGCTCCCACCGATTGATTCTATCCTCGAACGGCTTTTTAAATGAAGAAAATTGCATTGCTTGAATTGTCGTGATCTGTTCATCTAAAAGGGCTTGAATCTCATCGACACCTTTCAGAACATACGTTTCAGTGTCGCGATAGTCGACAACATTTAAGATGAGATTCGTCCATTGTTCTTCCATCAAGTGAAGAGACTTTTCGATTTCATGCTCCTTTCTGGCCGTCTCACTTATGCGTGCAATTGAGTCAATGTGAGACTCGAGACCCAAGTCTAAGACATAGCTAAGCTTCATGCTTCGATCTGGTCGAAACGTGCTGCCAATCTCTTGATTGAATTGACTCCAGTGTCGCTCTTGCATGCCTGGATTCCGCATGGCTAATATCAACGGGACATGAGTTCGAAAATCAGCAATGTTTTCTTTGATCATAACTGCCACATTGGAACAGCCTTTGATATTGAGTTTCTCAAACTGTTTCAACGCCTTTTGAATAGACACGTAGTTACTCTCGACAAACGTCTCAATCTCTTCTCCATTAATATCAAGAAAGGCACCGTCCATCCATTTCTTGTGCTCTCGAAGCCAGTAGTTTGCTGTCTTCCAGAGTAGCGAGTACGGCTCAAAAGCGCGTCGAATGGTCTGAATTTCGTTATAGTCCGTCACTTGCTGACTAAATAGAATCTCGCGCGAGTTATAAAGACTAGCCTCTTCGTCGGCTTTACTTATCTTCTGCTCAATGCCCACCACGTATTTGTATACTTGATCCAAACGCGTAATGTCCGTGTATTGTCGAAAACCCTCAACTTCACTATGCAAAAGGCGTAGCGACTCAGCAAATTCTGCTTGCTGGTCAATCATTTCAGCCGAAAATTGTGTCTTTTGCACCTGCAACAGCTGCACCATCCGCTTCATCTGCTCATCGATCTTCCGTGGACACAGACGCACGTTCCAAATTGTCATAAAATCATCACGATCGTATGAATACTGAAAATAGTCCAAAACTTGACGATACTTGATGAGCTGTTGGCTTTGCGTCAGCAGCGGTGTGAGATGTCCAGGGACACTGTCTAAATATGCGTTCATTTCAGTCAGTTCTTCGATAGTTTGCGGACTTTTTTGTAGCTGTCGATAAATCTTTTCAAAACTTGTGGTAAGCTCTTTAGCTAGATTTGTCGTATTCTTAAGTTGTATATCAAGCAATTTTCTTGCAAGACGTCGATGCTTGTCTGCTAATAGCGAGCGAATGCTTGTACAATGGACAGCGTACATTCCTAGCTCAACATTTGTAGTAGGAATATGACTCTCAACAGCAACTGCATCTTGATAGTGTTTCTTAATTGCGTCTTGAATCATAGTGAGATTCGGAGGTTGGCAAGCTTGAAATTGCGCAAGATACTCCTCCTCTTTAACATTGAGAAATAAAATGTACTGGTCGTACTGCTTAAGGTACGTTTGCAAAGGAATAGCAGCCTTGTCCATCAAAGCCTCAAGACTCAATCGTAATGCGAGAACCCAGTCTTCAGTCGCACTGACATATGATAAACACGGTAAACTGCTCCAAAAAAGTTTTGTCATGACCATCTGTTCGACTTGACGAATGTTTCTCAAATTATCAAGCATCTTGATAAACATATCGAGTACCGCAGTCTTAAACGTTGAGATACTGGTACTGAATGTAAAGATCTTCCCCATCTTGCGTTCTACGGCGTTGTCTGAGTTCGCCTCGGACGAATTTTCCGAGTTACTTGAACACGAATTCGCACGTGCAGCGTCTATTTGACACTGATTGATGACATAGAGCTCTGTTGATACACTGAGATTCACTGTAAATAACGAAGTTGGAGTCGAAAGATGTTGTGTGCGATTCAAATCTGTATATGTTAGATAAGTTGTCTTGGCATCTATGATGTGCACATGTTCGGGTGTAGCGCTTTCGATAAAGCTATGAAATTGACGCAATGAGTGTTGAGTTAAAGACCTTAGCGTGTCTTTCATACAAAAGTTGATACGTCGAAGGAGCGACCGAAGCTTGCTAAACTCATATGTGTCTTGTCTTGTTTCCTGCAGGTGGTACCAACCTTTCCCGACATTTGCTAGTGATGTCTTGATTATATTTGCGACTTTGTTAGGCCATTCGTCCGTAATAATTTTAAGAACTGTACGTTCAAGCGTTTGCTGTCGCTGTTGAAATTCTTCAAGCTTTACACTTCGACCTGGTTTCACATTAAAGAGCTCTAGCTGTAAGACTCGATAACACTCTTCGCTAACTTTAATTAGTGCCATTAAGACCTCTCGTGATGTGAGAAACGTCTGAAAAGAAAAGCTAATGAACTGATCCGCATAATCGATAGGAGAAGCAATGATGCGCTTGTTCAAAAGTAAAACATGTACTTTCGGACAAACATCAGCCAACATCTGCTCATCTTTCGTCAGAAAACCTTGAAAAATATCCTTGTTCCGTCCATTTTCGTGATGATAGTCAAAGACGATTGCGCACATTGTGCGCAAGTAACTGCGCTGAATTTCAAGCGCAAGGTGTGTCGTATTCGGAAACCGAAGATTTTTTCTTTGAAACACTGCAGTTGCTAAGCGAGTGATTTTGGTCAGACTGCCATCTCCAAGGTTATGTAAATTATCGGAAGGCATGCAATCGATGTAAAAACTCTTTCGCAACAAGTTTTGCGCTTGAATACGAGCAACTTGCGCAGCAATATATCGATCAGCAAAATTATTAGGATCCTCGACTTTAAAACAAATATCCAATCGTCTGCATTCTTTGATTGCCATCGTGTCCTGACGCTGATATTCTACAGAGAAAAGTCTCGTCTCGGAGTTATAGTCTTTCACGTATGCGTTATGCCAAGTAGTTACAATGCCACGAATGTTGTAAGACGCGGCAGTGACAGGGATTCGAACACTTCCGTTACGCTTACGGCCTAATCTGATCCATTCTTCGGGTTCATGAATTTCATAACTCTCGTCGTCAAACAAGTAGAGAGCCAAGCCATCGAGAATAATTTTTGCAGTGCCGCTGACATCCATGTTTATCTTTCTGTATAAGGATGAGCTGTAGAAGTCGTTCATTCGCTGTTGAAGCAGTGCACCAAGATCAACTGCTTCGTATAATCGCTTTTTTCGTTCAACTTCGACCTTACGAGGAGGGAGGTTTGATACCCGTTTATACGGCACATACACTTTAGGCTCGATGTCACCATCTTCTGGCTCTGCTGGATCTACGGGAGTCAATGCATGTCCCCCTCCAATTGAAAATCCAATCGGAGATTGTACAAATGACGTTGGTGAGCTGATGTGACACGAGTCTTTGATCACAGTTCGTCGAGTTGGAGAATTTAATGAGCCGGTAGGAGCAACGGTGGGCTCAAAATTAATGATACTGACGGGAACCCTCACACCATCTTTTGACGGGCTCGTCGACGGTGCAAGAAGAGCAATATGTCCTTCCTATACATTGCATGAGCATTTGTTTCAGACCATTAACGGATAAGAGTATCCCAACTTCCATTACATACCACCACTCGATCGGTGTCAGACATCGTTGTATGGCCACCACTTGACGCCGATCTTGCCGTGAACGGACGTATCAGTTGCAAAGCTAAGTAAAGACTTATACAATATAAAACGGACAAATCCTGAGTTCATAAGTCACAATCTATTGTTGTTTCAACACAGGCAACGAGAAAGATTTCGCCATTGTCCCTTCATCGTCTGTTGACCAGCCTTGTAGTCCCTCACCAGCTGTCTCGGAAAATCTCAGTCGACTCTCGCTTGTAGATTCAACATCCAAGTGAGAACTCGATAATGTCGAATCATCTGCTGAGAGAGCCGACGTCGCCGTTGAGCTCTTGGGTAGTCGAAAGCCAGCGCGAAAAATGTATTTCGCATTAGGTGTGACCGTCGGCCGGGACGACGAGGTCTCTTCATGAAGACCTGGGGCAGTCACAGAGATGCCTTCGCGCCCTGCTTTCCGTCGAATCACGTTCTTGGCAGCCGGAGCCGTTCTGACGGATCGTGTGGCCTCTATAAACTCGACTCCTTTTGTCGGCACAGTGTCAACCTGGACAGTGGTGTCGACGCCCACCAGCGTTCGACGCTTTATACTGGCAAGCATCATGTTGTTTATGGTTTCCACGTACAGCTCGCGTCGGTCAAGCATGCTTTTATCAAATTGCTCGCCAATATTCTTATTGTTCATGATCTTCGTGTGAACCTTGACGCGAATCTTCTCCAGGATTGTCCGCTGTTGCTCTAACATGTCTGCATCCATTGTTTGTTGGTCCCGTACATCCTTGTTGCACCCTGTTTGTAAAGCTTCGTATTCTGCTCGAGCTACGATCAAGTCGGCAATGAACTGGCAGTCGTGTACGAGGAGCTGTTGCTGTCGATCATTAAATGGTTTTCTCCGATTATTATCTGTCGGACGAGCGCCATGCTTACTGCTTGATCTGGCCGACGTCTCGAATTTCCAGCATTCCGTCACAAAGGTTTCGCACACACGATCGATCTCACGGTTCATGTCAGCTAGGTCCATGTTTCGTAGTGAAGAACGCGCAACAACGTCTGCAAAGTGCTCTTGCTTTTGCTGGAAAGAAGCGTATAACGCCTCGACGCGATTTGACTCTTTGTCAACAATCTCACTAAGTTTTGCTGTCGCGGCCTGGATCTCAGTGCGATTTTCTGCTTGCAGTGCCAACGTCTGCGCCTCGGCACCGTCCTGTCGAGCCATCATTTCTCGCTTTGCTACATATAAGCTATCCAGCGACCCCTTGATCGCCTGGTTTTCGAGATTTTGGTTCTTGACATTCTTGTCTACTTCACGCTGGGTTGTCTCAATTTCGCGCTTGTGTGTAGACGTCACTTCTTCGAAATGAAAGAGCTGACTTTTCACCGTCTCAAATTGGTTTTCTATTGACTGCGTGAGTTTTTCATGATCCGAGCGGAGATGGAAAGTGAAAGTTTGTAAGGTGGTAATGGAGCCATCCGTCATAGTTTTGTACTTATTCACATCACTTGTTAGCTTATCTGCACTTTCGATTGTGTGCTGCAACGTCCGCGAAAAGCGAACGCTCTCATCTGATAAGTGGCATAGGCTCTGCTGAAGGCGCTCAATTGAATTGAAGGCCTGTGAAAATTGCACCTTATTGTTGCCGTCTGTCGCAAGAATCTCCTTTTGAATCTCGGTTATATTTCGCACGCTATCTGTCGCGATAAGCGCCACAGATTCAAGCTTTGAAGCAATTGCCTTTATTTCTCTATCCAGCTCAGAATTGACAAGAACACTGACGACAGCTTGTACGGCAGTCACTTCACCACGCACTACAGCTACGCTTTCTGCAATCTTGCTGACCATTTGGTCCTCCAGGTAGGCTTTGAGCTCATCAAGAGCATGAAAGGCCTTGGTTACTTCATTTAAAAGGTAGTCAGCAATTTTTTGTGTTTCTTCGAATCCCGTGACCTTCTCTTCCAGTGCATTCACAGCTGTCACGTTTAGCTCCAAATTCGTGGTCGTGTCTATCAGGGATGTCTTCAGCTCTTCAATTCGCTCTTGAATTGTGTCTTGAGTCCGACCATAATCAATGATAATTTCTTCTGTACGGCCCTGTTTCCTCGTAAGCTGCTCTATCATTTCTGCGGTCGAGCTGTTGATATCCTCCTGGTCCGACCGCACTGTCAGCATATCTTCCAAAATCTTGTTCGACTTTGCTTCTACCTCTTCAAGCGTACGCAGGCGATCACTTTTTATCTGCTGGACAATTCGTTGTTCAGCAGAAACAAGTTCATTTCTTGAGATGCACGTTCGGAGGTTTTCATTGAGCTTGTCCATTTGAGACTGAACGATGTCTTCGTGCTTTTCGTTGCGTGCTTTGATGACAGCATCGCGGCGCTTAATTTCGGATTGTAAGCGATTTACCGTGTCCTTGGTCTCTTGAAATGCCTGTTTTAATGCTGAAAAATCATTTGTCTGTTTGTGCACAAAATCCCAAAGAGGTTTGACCACGGCTTCGACATATTGAGCCGAAACGCCACTGATCGTGGTTTGCAACAAGCTTCCCGTCTCGCTATTAGAATCAAAAGCATCCGACAAGTCCTTAGACGACGGAACCTGCATGAGTGACCGAGAAGAGTTCTGTGCCCTTGAACGGCCAGTTGATTGACGGTGATGTGGTGTGGGGTTGTATGCAGCTCCAGTGTTACCACTCGAAACATTGAGAAGCATTTCATGCCGCAACTCCAGGACTTCTTTCTGTAGCGACTCCACTTGATCTTTAAGCGCTTGACACTCAACTACTGCGTCCACGTTGCTGGCCACGTCAGCCAACGCCTTGATGAGCCAGGTAGGAAGTGCAGCTCCACTCAGTAATTCATTCTTCTCGATTGCTTGAACCTGGGCCCTTAACCCAGTAATAACGTCCACTAGCGACTCATCGTTAAGACACAACTCCGGCGTCGTACGCCAGGCGAGACGCGTAGCACTTCCGTTCATAGAGTGTTATGCACGGAATCACTGATGCTATAAATGGCCGCAGCGTTTGATCTACGTTTCCGATTGGAACCTTTTCGATCACATCGAAAAGTATTAAAATACTTATTCCTGAGGACGCAAACGTGGAAGAAAAGCCTACTCAACTACTTTCAAGCCCCGCCTACGTCAGCTGCCTTGAATCCGTTTGTCGCGCCTACTTAAGAATACTCTACAAGACCTCGCCTTCAACTTTGCAGTGATGTCGACGTGCCCCGGTAATGTGCATATATGTTGAGCTTTTGTTCTGGACTTGTGGTCAACAAACTGCTCGAGACTTATAATGGAATAGCATTCTTCTGTCGTTATCCCAAGCCCCGAAAGGTGTAATGTAGCCCCAAAACGGTGTCTTGTTATACATTTTAGCCTGGTCTGAACTTACATTATCTAAATTAGCGTCCCACGCTGTTTATCCCCATCATAATATAAAACCACACACGCTACGCGCGTTCAAAGCTACCTGAATCCGCTCCTTAATGACTCGTAGCGTTCTTCTTAGCGCTTAATTTGCCTTTGCTTACAGAAGTCAAATTTGCAAAGTGGGGCTTTCGGTTGGATAGGCTTCTCGTTGACTCACGCGGGCCTTTAAACCAGATCTTTATAACATGTTCAATCAAGTCAACCCATTGCTTTTTGCCAGTATATAGTTTTCTGCGCATTGGCGTTGGTGGCCATCGAGGCAATTTGCCACTCTCATGTCTTGTGCGCAATACGTGATTGGCTTTCACGATGGGTGTTGATCAAATATTACGTTTGAAGAATTTTGAATACTTTGCCCAATATTGATCATTTGTTGCTCCATACTAAATAGGAAATTCAAGGCATAATTGACCTTCACCTCACATAAATAACATCAAGACTATCAAACACTCACAACACAGAGCGACAAGCAGTATCTTAATGTTTCTGTTTCTGTATTTCAGTATATCTGGACACAAAAGCCAACGTAAGCTGGTGAGGACAAGGCTTCCCCATATACCCTACCACTTGTTTCATTCGTCACCATTCTTACTCTTCCTTGATATCACCTCACTCGATAGGCTTGCGGTCGAGGGGCTCGCCCTTAATGATCTTTTCAATCTCAGCTCCTGACAGGGTCTCGTATTCTAGTAAGGCCTTGGCCAGCTTCTCCAGGTCGTCATTCTTACTCACGAGAATACTTTTTGCACGTTGGTAAGAAGCGTCGCACAGCTTTTTGACCTCATCATCAATAGTTTTGCGGGTGATCGCACTAGTATCATTCCCACGTAGGTCGTGAAAGACCAGACCTACGTCTTCACTCATTCCATACTTTGTCACCATTGTGCGGGCAACGTTTGTAGCTTGTTGAATGTCTGAGGATGCGCCACCCGTGAT